CCCCTCTGGCACGCAGCCCCAGATTCGCAGGTTCCCAGCTTCTTGGCAACCTGTGTGGGTCATAAGCGGGAAAAGGCCTGGGTTGGGGACAGCGTCCGAGTCGTCCGAGTCGGGGAATCAGCAGCTCCCTGCAGCCTGGGGGCGTGGGGGCGGGGCGCCTGTAGCTGCCAGAACGAGCCCCGCCCCTTCCACCGGTGCGGCTTCAGCAGGTGCTTCCTGCAGCTCTGGGGCTCCTGGGGTTCCCAGCCTGCGCCAGGGGACGGGCCTCATGTGTGGGCTTGTGGCCTTCCAGAGTCACTCTGAGGCTCTGCGCCCCCTTCAAGCAGGCCCCCCTTTCATGGAAGGGCACCTGCGGCGAGGCGCCATCAGCCCCCAGCCCTGCTGACAAGCTGGCGCTTGCCGGAAGGAGCAGTGGCAAGAGCCGCAGCCGGCAGCAAGCCCAGCTGAGCCCTGCGGCCCCGGGCGAGTGAGGCGCCCGCGCACCTGCAGACCGCGCACCTGCAGACCGCGCACCTGCAGACCGCGCACCTGCAGACCGCGCACCTGCAGACCGCGCACCTGCAGACCGCGCACCTGCAGACCGGCCTCGCCGAGCGCCAGCGTGCGGGAGCCACCCTGGTGAGCGGTGGAGATGGCGGTGTTGATGCCCGCTTCAGCACCGGGTGGGCAGGGGAAGGAGTCGGGCCTGCACTTGGCCTCCTGCGGGCAGGGCGCCCACCTGCTGGGGCAGCCCTGCCGCCTCGGCTGCTGGGCGAATCCACGGTGGCCCCCAGCGGGGCAGAGAGAGGAAAGCGAGCTGGGGGCAGGGCGGGCAGCGCTGGGGGACCTCCTGATCTTGGCCCGGCCTGCTGTGCAGCCTCAGGCAAGCAGTTTGCCCTCTCTGGGCCGCACACGCATGGTCAGTGCGTCATCTGTTGCACAGATGTTGAGTGGACACGTGTCCCTTGAGGCACGCCAGCGGGGCGCTCGGGCCTGAGGGCCACGGCTGCTTCTGAGGGGCTGGTGGGGCTCGGTGCCCTATTCCCTGGGAGCCCCCCCAGCTCTATCTGGCGCCCACCTCCCGGCGCCCCCACCACTCTGGGTCCTGGTCACGTGTGGGCCCCGCCAGCGAGGCCGGGGCCGGCTCAGAGGCTGCAGGGCAGAGGAGCGGCCACCCGGCCTCCCCTATCTGCTTCCTGGACAGGATGTTGTGCTGAGTAAACAGCTGGCGGAGTCCCGGCTGAGTCACCGCCCCTAGCGACCGGCCGTGTTTATAAACACGGAGCCTCACGCCCGTGGGGTCGCAGCCCCCGGCCTGCAGGGCGAGCACAACCCCAGCGGATGTTGAGCGAGGCAGGCCCCCCAGCAGTCTCCCCCACAGAGGACTTGAGTCTGGGGGAGGGGAGCGTGGGCGCGCTCACGCACACACCCGCTCGCCTCAGCGCGGGCCTGCTGGGCCTGCGGCGTGTCTGGCCGGGCGCCTTCTCCAGAGCCACCGGGCGTGGGGGGCAGCGGCCGTGGGACCCGCTGACCACGTGACCCCGGTGTCGAGGGCCGCACGGCCGTGTGCTGACCCCGGAGGGACGCGGAGCCGCCGGAGGGAGGGTGCAGGCCGAGCCCCAGCCATGCGTGGCCCCGGCCCGGCAACGTGGCCCTGTCCCAGGCGGTGACAGTGACGCGGAGCAGCATGTGGCAGCAGACAGAGGCGCCTCTGCTCTCCCCCCGCCAGCCCCGCCCCCTGGGTGGCGTCGCCGGCCTGCAGCTGGCCTGCAGCTGGCCTGGCCGTGGCCTGGCCGTGACTCGGGCCGAGCCGGCTCTCGGGGGCAGCCCCGCCCCGGCTCACCGGGCGGCCGAAGCCTGGGCTGGAGGCGAGGCGGGGAGGGGGTGGGCACCCCGGGGGCCGTGGGGAGCACAGGAGCCAGGGAACGTGCGTGCACTGTGCGGCAGCTGCCCGGGCAACGCGTAGCCCAGCAGTGGTGCCCCAGCTGCCTAGCACACGGCCCCCCTTGCCCGGGCCCCCGAGAGGCTGCCTGAGGCAGCAGACCTGGGTTGGCTGGGAGCGCACAGCCCCAGGCCGCGCGGAGTGGCCCCGGCTGAGCCAGGCCCCCGGCTCGGCCAGGGGCTCGCACCCGACACCCAGGTGTGTCCGTGCCAGGCGCTGGGGCGGCGTGTGGCCGGGGGAGGGGGGGGTTGAGCGGCGCACAGGCCTGAGCTGGGCTCCTGCTGCACCCCCAGGACGCCCGCTCCCGTCTTACAGCTGAGGAAACGGAGGCCGGAGCCAGCTCTGAGGTCCTGGAGCTCCCGCCCCTGCTGTCGGGGCGCTCAGGGCGCTCGCAGTGCGGCGGGGGATGGCGCGGGTCTGGGTAGACGCGAGCCCTGGACGTGGAAGGCTGATTGGGGTCCACCTGGAGCCCCCTCTCCCCCGGCATTTCTTTGACCCCCTGGCACCCCACCGCCATCCTCCAGGGGCCCTAACTTGTGCCGCGGAATCCTGCCTTCCATGTGAGCCCAGTGGCGGGCGCGCAAGGCTGAGGGGTGCCGCTGAGGCTGGGGGCCCCCGGTCCGGTGGGGAAGCCAGGCCTGCCGCCCCGGCTCCCCTGCTCTAGTGCTCGGGTCCCGGGAGCCAGGTCTCAGCTGCCTGCTCGGCTGTGTCCCCGCGTCCCCGCGCCCACAAAGCCACCGGAAGAGGATGTGAAACTCGGAGGCAGTAGTGCAGGCGGCCTCGGAGCGGGCCTGGCTCGGACCCCGCCTCCGCCGACCGGGGCCCGGTGTGCCTGCCCGCTGGCTGCGGAGCCGGCCGCTCCCTGCTCCTGCAGGCCTCTGACATCCTGCGCCCCCCGCCCGCGGCCCGCCAGGTCCCCAGCGGGTAAGGAAGCAGCCGCGTGTGGGCTCCTGTCTCCCTGGGCTGGGTCCGGGCTCTGAACGCTGCTGGGAGGGGTCGCTGCAGAGGGGTGGGCTGGCCAGGCCTGGGCCTCAGGGCTCTGTTTGTCCAGCGCGTGTGCCGGACCCGGGCCCAGGCTGCTGGCGCCTGGTGGACACAATGTGGGAGCAGGGGAGGGTCTCGAAGCCGCTTCCCGGGGCGCGGCAGGCGCTTCGGTGGCTTCTCTGAGATGGCGGCTGGCCGCTGCGCTAGCTGCTCCCTGCGGTCTGGGTTGCCAGGGGTGGGGGCTGTGGGGGTCGAGGCTTTTGGAACGAGGCAGTAGCTTGGGGCAAGTGGGCGGGGTGGGGTGCCCCACGGTCGGCCCCACCCGCCGGGCCTTGTTTGGATCTGCCACCTTTGCTGGCTCTGGGCCGTGGCCCCTCCCAGACAGGGGAAGGAGTGGGGCTTTGGGGGGTCGGGGAGTCTCTGGGCCCGTGCAGGAGGGGCTGCCGGCCCAGCTCGGCAGAGCCCGACCACGTGTCCTTGGCTGGCTTCCAGCCTTGGGCCAGCGGGAATTCCTGGCCCTGCCCGTCACAGGAGCAGGTATGACAGCCATGCAGGTGACACCAGGCCCAGGCACTTGGGTGCTCAGCTCCTCGGGGCCAGGCCGGCGGGCGGGCAGACTGGCAGAGGGCCTCCCGTGGAGCCCGGCGCCTGCCCGCCATGGCCCGGGAAGCCCGGCCCGCCGTGCCCAGGGAGCGGAA